GGATCAAAGAGCGCGCCCAGCGCGGTGTGCCGCTGCCAAGCCACCCCTGCACCGAAAAGAAAAAAAAAAAAAAAGAGAAGAAAGAAAGAAAAAAAAAAGTCATTTCCATAAAAAAAACCCGCCCAGGCTTCAGCTGGAGGGTTGCACGTGTAAAAGAGTTGCTCCGTCCCTCCAGGCTGGAGGTGGGGTGCCCGTCACCTAACTTCAGTAACCTCAGGTTGTACCTGTGCAGTCCAAGCTGATCCTCAGGGTTTCCCTATAGCCAGGAGGAAAGAGGGCTGGGCCGCTCGCCTGTTGCACGGCCTATTTGAGGAACGGAGGAAGTGTCCTAAGGAGGTGCCTGTCTCTTGCCATCGCCTAGATGGGACGTTGAAATGTTAAGATGGTTGACACTAGGTGTGATGACTCCCTGCATTTGTCTTCCCACATCTGGCTGAAGCAGCGGTCGTGGGCTGCCCTCAGATGTGACTAGAAGACGTGCCATGACTTAAGTAAAAAATGAGACTGCCTGACATTCCTTCCTAAAACATATGAAACCTAAAATCTGTCATCTATAGTAGCTAACACCAATACACAATTTTACATTTAATTTTGCACATTATGGAAATGAAACTCAGAAATTATGAGTTCATTTGGCCACTGTTTCCCTGCGAGGCAGTGTCAATGATGGGATTGTACCTTAGTTCTTCCAAGTTCCTAGTCTCGTGCTCTAATTGTGCAAACTTCTGAGAAGTGAGAATTTAAATATTTTAAGACACTTCATGAAAAAATCTAATGACATTCTTTGGTTCATATGTGAATCATATTAAAGTACCATTTTTATCTAGAAGTAAATTTACTACTTTCTTCACAATGGAAATAGTTCTGTCATCTAGACATAAGTGTTTCTGCTTTGAGCGTTCGCGGATGGTATCTTCACTGCTGGCTTTTTTCCAGTCTTCAGGTTTAATTAGCTGAGAACAATAATGGCATCACTTTATTTTCGTGATAGAGAGACATACATCCTTAAACAAATACCGCAAATTTCAGTTTCTTGGGGTACAAGTTGTATACCCAAGTTAATATGGGTCAAATACTGAGTTTCTTCAATAGATGTGTTTACTTTGAATGACCCTTTTCTTTTTCCATTCAAATATTTATATGCCTGTCTTTCTTGCACAACATTTTTTTGTTCTCATTATTTTTTTAACACATGCAAAGGCATCACATCATAAATGGAAGAGAAAAAAGGGTGTGTTTAGTGGTATGACATTCAAAGGCTGACATCAGTTATTTTTCACTGTGGCAATTACACTAATCTGTTGATGGTTACAGACTTCCCATGCCTCATAAACCCAGGGGCTACAGCCTGAGACTCACAGGAATTAAACTGATTTACAGCAGTTAAGGATGTAGCATTCAGGGTCTGTAGAACTAGAAAGTCAATTTGGAAAAAAGTTTATGTGAAAAAAGGATTCTATGTAATATATGCATTTAAAAGTTTCACAGGATGAAGCATAACAGAGGGGTGTTATTAATCTCTGGAACTGTGTAAATGCTTTTCTAATGATTGTCAGAAATTATATGTTCTTTTATGGCATGACCTTCACCAACTGCAACATTTTAAATTAAATTATGAAAACACTTTAACAGGTTTAGAGTTAAAGCTGTAAAACACGGTTTAAATATTTTGATTTTTTTTTATAACTGTTAATGTGCTCCATTGTTAAAGCTAGTCCAAGTTGAAGGCCATTTTCCGTAGGCCTTCATCAACAATTTCTGTTTTCTAAACACTTTACATTTTTTCCATTTAAAGTCTGCATCTTTTTAGGTTGCACTCACACAGTTCACACTTCCCACATTTGCCAATCATCAAGGCTACGTGGAGTAATTTTTAGATAGTTCTAAACAAAACGTTATTTCATCTTTTCCGTGCAAAAGAGTGGAGAACAGACTGCTTCAGTAAACTGCAGGTGCAGAAGGAAAGAGTCTAGGAAAGCTCTGCACTTCTAACGAGGTGGAATATCTCCTGCCAAATTTTAACCATTTTCTTTGTGTCTTCCGTGCTTTTTCAACTCTGTTCCGTGAAGGTATTCCATCTCTTGCTGAAGCAGTTACTGTCCCTTACAATACACACCTCTTCATGACCTCTATTCAACACATTTTCAACACTCATTTTCTCATTTCATTTCAGTTCTCTTGGCTGCGCAGTCTGTCTCATCAGTGCTTCATGCTCTACCTCCATCCCTCAAGAAAGACTTTTCCCCTCAGTTTCTCTTCAATCCCAATTTTAAATGATGAAAAATGTCAAGAAGTTGCCTTAAAAAAAATCCAATAAAAAACCAAACAAAAAAAACCCAACAAACAAAAAAACCCCACCCAAACTTATAAGCATAGTTATATAAACCTGTGATTAAAGGACACTATAGAAAAATCATAGAAATTATATAAACCAACTGCTTGAAATAAACCTCTCAGTCTGAAGGCTTCTGTTGATGTTAGAGGATGTTACAAAAGCAGTTCACAGCATCCACAGAAGTGTGTTGCTGTGGACTACTGGAGATGCTTGATTTGTCTGAGCTATTTTAATTAATGCATTTATCATCTCCATTAGATGTTTTACTTCTAGGAGCTCATGGAGGCTTATTTAGCAAGGCAGTGAGTACAGGCTTGGCTGCTTTCAGACCATGGCACTGGTAGTGCAGTGTCGCTCTGTTCACACTCCCATTGACCACTTCAGCCTCATTAACCAGGGTCATAATCTCTCCTTGTACCAGGGCAAGGGAATTTGCCATGTTACTAACCCTAACAGGTTCTTCCTCATTTTGAGCATAGGACAGAAAACACCATCATCTCCATTTCTGTCCTGGTCTACTTTGAGGGAGTGAACTTTCCATTGCTATTTTTTCCTTTTGTGCCTTTTTCCATCCTTGCCATTTTGTCACTGTTGCATTTATGTTTAATTCAGTAGAGTGAAAGCTCTTAAAATATGTAACAAAATAGATACCCCGTAGCTTATTTTTTAAACCTTTTTTTTAAAATGTTCTTATCATCTTGCCTTGAGCCGAGCTTTGGAGCCTTGGACCCCCATTGCTAAAAGTGGAGCCGAAACCTCTGTTGATTTGAATGAGTGAAGAACATTTGCATGGAAAAATTTAGGAAGGCATGTTTCAATAAACAACCAGAGATAAAAACTGATGATAAGGGTGGGAACTTTCCTATCTATTGTAAACTTTCTCTAGATTGTAGAAATCTGTCCATTACAATTCTGTTAATGTTGAATCTGAGAAGCCCAGAAATTGACCTCTATTTCAGATTGCAATCTGGTCTGCTTGGAGGCACCTAGACAGAAAGGGTACCAGGAAGGATTTTCTTCACCTGAAATTCTCTAAAGGGGCATACTCCATGTGTACTTCTTCTGTGCCTATATCTTCTTTACAATCTCAGTGTACCTAAGGCCTCAGAGACTTAAGACATTAGTCCTTTGAGAAACCTGTGATCTGGACCACAGCTGGTGTAAATGGTAGAGTTGCTCACTTTTTGCAAACAGCTTTGCATACATATTGTCCACATACCAAAGCAAGGCTATAATGCCCAGATCTGGGATATTCTGGGTAAATGTGTGCCCTGCCAGCCCTATAGCAGCAGGCACACTGCATAACTAAGTACAGTTTCCACACCTAACTTGTCTGGAAGAGTCCTGAGATTTTGATCCTTGGTGCTTTGGACATCTTCTGTCATTTTTAGCCAGTGATGGTGAAATATAAAATGTGAAAGCTCACTTAAGAACATAATTGTGGCCACAGTTTTGTCCTTTGCCTCTTTTTTGCTCTTTTCCTGGGTTCTGGTGGCTTCATGATTCTAACATTCATAGAGTCACTTGCAAGTAAAATTGGCCAGGGGCTGTTCTCTGGCCCTGAGATATGGTATAACAATATAATTGTCCAGCTGAACCCTCTAAACTCCAAAACTCGGTAGCTGTCCAAGCTGCCTATTAGGAATTATTCCTAATCCATTTTAATCCCCAGA